AAAAGAGAATTTAAATAAACAAGAAATTTAATTGAACGAATAGAGCAATGAAAATAATATATCGAAAACACTTATAATAGGAGACCTTGGTTAGTAAAGATCCACCACCGGAATTCAACACTGATCATTGATTTATAAAGTAATTAATATGCAATTGAATATTTGTCGTGAAATTATTTCGTTTCTGTTTTCCCTTAGTTGTAGGTAAATAAAGCACAAGCGGTTTAATTACCCCTAACTACTAAATAATCTAAGACAAGCGCTATAGATTTAATTTAATAGCAGCAATAGGAACTAGGAAAACCGACAAACTAAATAACACAAGCACAAGCGGTTGCATTTAATTTAGGAAAATATTCTACCCGAGACCAATTATCACTAAGCCGTCAATAATTAACCTCAGTTGCTACTGAATATTAGAATAATTTGTAGCACAACATTATCTAATATAGCAAATAATTATATCAAATAAATAACTAGTAGGCCTCCCTAGCAATTAAATGATACAACTATTCAAATAATTTTAGCAGAATATTTAATACTCAAATGCATAGAAACATATATAATAAAAATAAATAAATAATCTTACAGCATAATCAATTCCGGGGCATCAATTCACTAAGCCAAGCTAGAAGAAATTTCCCACGAATGGACATTGGTAACAACTTTAAAGAATAATCGAGAGGGAAAGAATGAACATTTTACAATAAGAAACTTCTACTATTCATAGCATTCTAAAAATAAACCTAACTATTTCCTACCACTTGTTTCCTACTTTTGTGTCATATGTTGAAACTCCTTGTAATAATGCCTTGGAATAGCTCCCATTGACTTTATTTTTGCTGCTGCACCATATGTTTTGTTAGGAAAGCAAACAAATTAAAATATTATATTTATTTAATTTATTTGTTGATTTCTAATATATATATATATATATATATATATATATATATATATATATATATATATATATATATATATATATATTTATTTATTTATTTATTTATTTATTTATTTATTTATTTATTTATTTACTAGTAGTACGTAATATATATATATTTTCTATATATTATATATTATATTATATATATATGTTCAGTTTGTACGCAATATATATATATATATATATATATATATATATATATATATATATATATATATATATATATTAATTAGTATGTATTATATATATATTATATATTATATATTATATATTATATATTGTATTATATATAAAAAGAACTAATTATTAGATAATATTAAATAACCAATGCAAAATTATTATAAAAATGTACCTAAAATATGAGTGTAAAATGTGCGTATCACCTAATCCACCGGCACCCGCACGAACAGGAGGAAACCCAAGGGGACAAAACGAAGAGTCTGTCAACGAGCGCATCCTCGCACAGCTCACCCGGTAAAACAAAATCATGGACGAAGGGTTCTCGTCCCTAATCCACACGACACGCGCCTTAAATCAGAGTGTGGCAGCAATCGAGACCATCCTGGGCACTCGCGGGGCATCCAGTTCGGGAGCAGGAAACCAAGGTAGACCCGAACTTTTCAATCACCACGTCACTAGAAATCCAGTCTAACCGAGAAATGACAACACGTGGGGCCACGTTCCTAACCAGGAGGCCAAAATATAGAATGTCCAAGGGTGAAAGAATGGGTTAACGCACCGGCTTCGGGGACGAAGCCTCTTGTAAGGGGGGGAGAGTGTAACACCCCGTGTTACGGCCCCTAAAACCAATTAATCATTTAATCATTTACCCAAAAGAAATGACTGAATTCCAATAATTAATTAAGAAAAGGCCCACCATAGTCCATGGGCCCTTATCCCTAAACCCAATCCCCTAGTCCTAGAAGGAATAGAACTAGCCCTAATTAGGGACTCTTAGGTATATAAATAAGGGGGCATAGGAGGCACCTAGAACCCACACCACAATAATCTCTCACCACACCAGAAATTCCAAGAATCCCCCTAGGAGAAATCAAGAAAGAAGGAATCTTAAAGAAAGACCCTTCATAGCCAAGGAAATTAATTAAGGCTAAGAGGTAACCCATGTCTCAACAAAACCTATTTTCCTTGCTATAATTATCTTCTTTGGCCTCCTCTCTATACTTGTGTCTTGATGAATCGTTTATGATGTTGATGATACGTTCTTGATGATTATGAGATGATTTTATGTGTGATCTTGATGATCTTGATGATGATAAGAGGTTCTTGATGATTATGTAATGTTCTTGATGAATCTTGATGTTTTGATGATTAAAAGATGAACTATGATTTTATTGATTTGAATATGATTAGAGCCCTAGGTTAAAATTGGGAATTTCGTATTGTGTTACTCTTGATATAATTGGGTGGGATTTCACATGTTCGGGTGTTGATTATGTTTAGAAGTCATGATAGGATATGTGCTATATGATTATTGCTTTTGATCCGTTAATTGTCTACGTGGTGTCATCAATTGCGTTTAAAAGTGTCTAAGCATGATTTCAGGTTCCACAACGGATCCCGGGACATTTATTTTGATAAAGAGTCAGTGGGGGGTAGGTGGGGGTAGGGGGACCCGCCACCTACCCGCTGCCCGAGAAGGGCGTCGCCGGCAGCGGGCAGCCGGCGAGCAGGCAACTGCCCGCCTGGCACCCGCTGCCCGGAGAATTGTCGCCGGCGGGTGGTCCTCCACCCACCGGCTACCCGCTGGAAATTGTCCAACTCGGGACTCCAGCCTCCCCGTTTGATGTTTCCCCGACCCTCGTGGTGTCCCAACGGACCCCATTTATCGTGCCTAAAGTCTAGTTTGATGTTTCGGGTACCATTCGTAGGATAAGTGAATCTTATATATGTATATATGTCGCATGCTAGTGGAATTGGTATCCCGTTGGCCTAGGTGAAAGAAGTATGAACCCCTTAGGATTATTCCTAGTATGTGGATGACCACGCATAGGTTTCATTATACGTTTTCTCCCCTTCCCAATATGTTAATGTGGGTTGCATGTGCTTGCTAAGTGTTATGTGTGCATGATGCCCCAATTTGGTTGCGATCAGATTGGTTATTTTTGAGCTGCGGTTCAGAAGCTGGCTGCGGTCAGAATTACACTCTTGGGCTGCGGTCCACCGTTTGGTTGCGATCAAACGTTTTACATGAGCTACGGTTCATATTCCTGGCTGCGGTCAGATGATCGCTTTTGGGCTGGTCCACCGTTTGGTTGCGATCAAACGTCTTACATGAGATGCGGTTCATATTCCTGGCTGCGGTCAGATGACTACTCTTGGGCTGCGGTCCACTGTTTGGTTGCGATCAAACATTATGATGAGCTACGGTTCATCGGTCGGTTGCGATCGACCCCTTCGTATTGCGATACGAGGCAATGCGCTGCGGGGCCGTGTCAGAGCTATATGCGCTGACCCTCATGTATGGGCATGCGATTTGTCTTGTGGCGCCACCAAAGTATGCTTGTGTTATGAGATTCGAATCGAATGATGACGTGAATAAGATGAAGTGAATTTGTGACCATAGGATATATGCTAGTATCTTTACATGCTTGGTTATAACTGTTAAATGTGCTTATCTCTATCTGTCGAGTCTATTCTTGGTTTTAAAACTAGTGTCTCTTAAGTATTTTCAACGCGTTGGAGTGGGTTACCAGCATCTCTCGCTGAACAGATATATTTGGCTTTCAGGCACAAATGAATAGACACTGGAGCGCGCTAGAGATTCGGAGCGTAGAGTAGATAGTTTCCCTTTCGGCCTGCGTGTCATGCTTATGTATTGACATTATTGAGGATATTAGTTAATAGCCTGTGCGCCTGAGTTCTCTAGCTCAGGTGTGGCATAGCACCCCGCACTCTTACGTTATGTTTTGGGATTTAAATGAGAATTTACCTTTATTATATTAGTCTCAAAAGTTTCAAAAATCTGGGGTGTTACAGTCTACATAAATGGCAGTCGGTTAAAAGACATCGCGTTCTACCGTACAATCAGTAGAGTAAATGTATCTTCACGAGGAAATGTTCAAAGGGTGTGACCCTACCTATCCTATGCAGGGATCGACCGTTGAACACAGTTGTTTCTGATTTTAAAATCTACCCCGAAAATCAATTTTCATTCATGTGGGGGATTGTTGGAAAAATTAGCTTAAAATGGCATAAAATGGCATATTAAGTGGCAAATCAAAATCCAACTAGAAGAGATCGAAAAGGCTTGATTCAAGCCCGACCTCGAGTGCGCCAGCACCTGCGGGCACGAATGTCATCCGGAAATTTGCTGGCCTTGCGGGCTAAGTTATGCCAAACTTCAGTATCTTTTTCCAACTGATATAGTCACTTGGTTCGGCCGAGTTCGACCGAAACCGAGAGCACCTACTCTCGTGCTACAGAGAGCACGAGAGGTTGTGGTGCACCGAGAGCACGACTCTCGTGCGCGCTGTGGTGCAACCCGAGAGTGCATAAGATTAAACTCATCTGTTACTGGAATTAACACCGTTTTAATTCCAATTTTAAAACTGAGTTTAATCCTACTTAGTGGGTGGCTGTTACAGGTGTTGCACAATTGGTTTTAATACCAATTTAATGGCCATGTTGAATGCTATCACTCAACATCCCTATATAAAGAGAGGTAGAGCAGTAGCTTTTTACATAGTAGAGAAACAAAGGAATTCCAGTAGCTTTATCCTCCCAAAACTCTGCTTCTACTCTCTTCTTTAGCCAATCTGTGTTCCAGCTTTGCTTTGTTTGCCGGGTTCTTTGTTTAGGTGCTTAAACAAAGAATCGTAGCACGTTTTATCCTGGGAAACCTAGGCTACAACGCTCCTAGCACTTGTGGGGGGTAGCAAATAAGGTTTTAAGGAAAAGAACTTTGTGTTCGAACTCGTGCTAAACCTATATCCAAACACTCCAGCTTTTCCTTCCCAGTTTTCTGTTTTCCCATACAATAATAATTTTTCTGTAGAATTATTATTTTGGGATTTTTCAACCATTTTACCCAACATACCATACACCTCAAATAAGTTTCTAAGCATTTGTTAACCCTTTCTGTCTGGCCATCTGACTGAGGGTGGTAGGCTGAGGACATGCTTAGGCTCACGTGCAACTGACTGAATAATTTCTTCCAGAATTTACTCACAAAGACCTTGTCCCTGTCACTCACAATATCATTGGGAAGTCCATGGAGTTTATAAACATGTTCCATGAATACCTCAGCTACCTTCTCATCAGTATAGGGATGAGACAATGCTAAGAAGTGACTGTACTTGGTAAACCTGTCAACTATCACCATGATAACCTCTTTTCCTTGTGATATAGGTAGCCCCTCAATAAAGTCTATTGATATGTTCTGCCAAGCTTGATTTGGAATTTTTAAAGGTTGCAACAACCCAGGGTAAGTTACATTTTCATCTTTGCACTTCTAGCAGACATCACAAGCTTGTATTGCTGCTATCACTTCATTCTTCATCCCCTTCCATTAGAATAGTTGTTTGAGCCTATGGTAGGTTACCTGTTGGCCTCAGTATCCACCTATGGGAGAGTTATGCAACTGCAACAAGAGCCTGCTCCTCAGGTCCTCTTTCTGCCCAATGTACAACCTTCCCTTATATTTGATCAGCCCATCAGTCACAGTAAACAATGATGTTACTTCAGCTGTGATTAGCTGCTCAGTAAGGACCTTGGAGGCTAAATCATCCCCTTCATACCTCTTTATGACTTCCTCTATCCATAATGGCCTCACAGTAGAAATGGCTAAGTATTCAGCTTGGTTAATTACCCTCTTCCTAGACAATGCATCAGCAACACAATTATTCACTCCTTTCTTGTACTGGATAGTATAATTAAGTCCCAATAACTTGGTGAGTCCTTTCTGTTGCATGGGTTATCTTCTACTCTAATAGAAACTTTAAACTCTGGTGATCTGTTTTGATGATGAATGGCCTCCTAATCAAGTAAGATCTCCACTTATCCACTGCATTTATGATAGAGAGGTATTCTTTTTCATAAATGGATCGTCCCAAATGTTTGGCTCCAAACCCCTGGCTAAAATAAGCTATTGGCTTCCCTTCCTGCATTAGTACTGCCCCCATACCCTTATAGCAGGCATCAGCTTCAACTACAAATTCTTTATAAAAGTCAGGCAAGGTCAGAACTGGTGCACTACACAAGGTTTGCTTTAGGGTTTCAAAGGCAGTTTCAGACTCCTCACATCACTGAAATGCATCTTTCTTCAACATGTTAGTGAGTGGCCTACTGAGAATGCCATAGGATCTGATGAATCTTCTATAATAGCCTGTGTCCAGTTCACCTTCCTGAGCTTCTTTTTCCCTTTTACCCTCCATGTTTATGACATCTTTCCCCCACATTGTCTTTTTTTTTTTTCCTGTCATATTCAATAGCCCAAATTTGTGCCAATAAGAGCTTGAATTTATCCTCAGTTTTAAATAGTTTCATTGCCTTCAAAATCATCTCCTCAATTCCCTTAAACTCCTCAACCCTCCTCTTCGCCGCTTCGAACTCACCAATTTCGTAAGTGCACTTTAATTGCAAAGTCTACGAGTGGTTTGAGAAAGAACATTATGGCGGTGGACAGTAGTAGCTTTCCATGACGGGTAGCAGCCAAATTTGAATTGCAAAGTGAATTAGAGGAAGAAATTCCCTAAGATTGTTTGAGAAGCTAAGGATAAAATTCTGCAAAAATAAATTTCTCAAATCATGCAGCGAGGCAAGTCCACAAATATATATTAAAATACTAAGTCTATATATATATATATATATATATATATATATATATATATATATATATATATATATATATATATATATATATATATATATATATATATATATATATATAATATAATTAGGTTCTGGTGCGGTTGGCAGTTTCAGGCGCGGTTGTGCGGTGAGAGGAGAGCCACTGATTTTGTTTAAATCAACATCCATGATTACTAAAATTTAAAAAAAAAAATACACTATGGCAATTTGGTAATTTTGTAACTAGGTCAAATTTAAGGTGCGTGAGTTTTGTGCTTAAGGTGCGTGAGTTTTGTGTTTAAGGTGCATGGGTTTTGTGCTTAAGGTGCGAGTGTTTTGTACTTAATGTGAGTAGTTGTTGAAACTTAAGGTGCGTGAGTTTTGTGTTTAAGGTGCGTGAGTTTTGTGCTTATGGTGCGTCCTATTTCTTCTTTGTGCACCCTTTTCTGTAAGTCACGGGTAATTCAGACCCTCAAGAAGAACAAAACTTTTGAATTGAGAGGTGGTTCAGACCCTCAAGAAGAATAAAACTTTGGAACTGAGGGGTGGTTCAGATCCTCAAGAACAAAACTTAATGTGCGTCATTTTAACACTTAAGGTGCGTTGTTATAACACTTAAGGTGCGTGTTTCTATCACTTAATGTGCATCATTTTTAGCTCCTTTCTTCAATGCACGCGTTTTTTTTTTTTTTGTTTTTTTTTTAATTTTCATTAATTTGAGCCGTCAACCGCACAACCGCACGAGAAGCTTTTACCACACCTGAACCCTTCACTATATATATATATACATATATATATATATATATATATATATATATATATATATATATATATATATATATATAATCCTAATCATATGAGAACCATATCCCAGGTGAGAACCTATGGACAAATTCAAACCATTGATCTAGTAAATCTAACAGTTGAAAATAAACAAAACTTTGTAATATTTATAAAAATGACCCTACTTATTTTAAAAATTTGTAATATTTATGAAAATGACCCATCATATTTTTTACTTGATTTCTCATCCATTAAATCTCAGATTTGAATGATTAGGATTTTATTTGCATAGTTGATCAGGTAATCAGATACGATGGGGATATACATACAAAGCATATGTCGTATACAACTACCCAACCCGACATATTTTAGGTGTTCCCTACCATTGCAAGTTGGGAAACCAACCCTCTTGGGTTTGTATTGTCGATAGCCAAGTTAGTACCTATACGTGTTACGACCAACTTGATGACTTACTAACCAAGAAGGTGAGCAGCACATAAGTCTTGTTGGTGAGATTTCGTGCTCCCCTTCTTCTTCTCCTTTTTTTTTTATGTGCATAAAGGTAAATATATAACTTAAATAACCCAAAGAAGTATGAATACATGGGACATACCCCAGTACCAAAGGAAAGTTTAGTAATGTGGTAGTGTAAATAGGGATGTTAATTGGGCCAGCCTACTCGGTTTCGGGCTAGTCCTATCGGGTTGTCGGGCTAATAGATTTATTAATATTTTATTCTCGGGTTCGGTTTGGCCCTAACCCTAAACTTCGGGTTGTCGAGCTAATCGGGCGGGTTGAACCATCTGAACTAAAATTAGAAACTGAAAGTGAGTACCCATATTTAGAGTAGGGATGACAACGTGGCGGGGCGGGGGCGGGGGCGGAAAGTATACTCCCCATCTCCGTCCTCAACGGGAAATTGAAAATAGTCCCTATCTACGTTCCCGCGGAGAATTTGACGGGGACAAAGAATCCTGTCCTCATCAATTTTTAGTCAAAATATTAGATTAATGTTGTTTTAAATTTTAAAAAACTAAAAACTTAAGTTTAATTTAAATTATAATATATATATATATATATATATATATATATATATATATATATATATAATATATATATATATATATATATATTTATTTATTTATTTATTTATTTATTTTTAATTATAATAATTATTCCATCTATGTTACGTTTCACATCACTTCTTTAATAAAGAATAGTTTTTAATAGTTCGGGTTGTCGGGCTAGCCCGTTTAATTTCGGGCTAGCCCTATCGGGCCACCGAGCTAATCGGTTTCGGGCTCGTCGGGCTAATGTGTTTTATCTGGCTAGCCCGTTCGGGCCATAGCCCTGTCGGTTTCAGTTTTATCGGGTTGGCCCATCAGGTTTGGGCTAAATTGACATCCCTAAGTGTAAAGCAAAAGTACGCATACGATGAAGCCAATATAGTCACTATTAGGACTATATTATCTAATAGAATCTCTATATATTCGTTCCCTGTACTCTCAGACATTATTATTGAATACAACACAATTACATTCTCATCTGATATCAGTTAGCTAGGGTTATTATGAGGGCCAAAATAACGTGAAGCACAAACCAAACTAATTTCTTGTAAAGACACGGCGTCACCTTGCTTCGTAGTAGTAGCCGATGGCATCAAACCAAGATACACCGTATGAGAAGCGGTCCAGTCAATGACGTGACATTGATGATCTGTGTCAAATTTGTAAACGTTTTGGTCACACGGGAGCCAATTGTTTTTGGCGCTATGATGATCCTTGTCAAATTTGTAAATGTTTTGGTCACACGGGAGCCAACTTTTTTCGGCGTTATTCAGGGGCTCCGGGTTTTCAGGCTAATCTGGGCATCTCTGGTGATAATGGTGATTCCAACGGTCCTCATCAGTGGTTCCCTGACACTGGTGCTACAAATCATGCTACGCCTGATTCTTCTTTGATGACTTCTGCGACACGTAATGATGGCCCGGAGACTCTGCGAGTCGGCAGTGGTACATGTTTAGGGGTGTTCAATCGGTTAACCGAACCATTTTAACCGAACCGAATTAACCGAATTTTTTTTTCCTTTAACCGTTAACCGAACCGAAGTTTGCTCTACCGAATTCACCGAACCGAAATTTTTTCGTTTTAAAGCTAAAATTTAAAATTCTAAAAATAACACTTAAAATAATAAATCCAATTAAAATAAAATACATATCATAATAAATTCATAACAAAATATACGAAAACATTAATTATAAACTCCAAGCATCCATAACTTCAAATTAGTATATATATATATATATATATATATATATATATATATATATATATATATATATATATATATATATATATATATATATATATATATATATATATATATATATATATATATATATATATATATAAAATTTTGGTTAACCGACCTTTCGAACCGAATTAACCGCTAACCGAAGTTTTAAACTTCCTTTAACCATTAACCGAACCGAAAAAGTTCGGTTCGAAAACGGTTAACAGAACTTTGTCGGTTCAGTCGGTTAATCGAAAATTATCCGAAGTTTGCACACCCCTATACATGTTTCCCTATTGTTAATGTTGGTTCCGCTTCGTTAGTTACTGATTCTAGATCTTTTAAGTTACATGATATTTTACATGTCTCTGGCCTCTCTTCTTCTCTATTGTTTGTCCAGCGTTTTGCAAAAGACAATAATGTTTTCTTTGAGTTTCACCCCCTTTGTTTCTATGTTAAGGACATTTTGACCTGGAAGGTTCTTTTTAAGGGACATGCGTTTGGGGGTCTCTACACATGGCCTGCGTCCTCCTCAGCTCCTGCTGTGTTTGTTGCTGTGCAATCCTCTTACGTTTGGCACATGTGGTTGGGGCATCCTCATTCTCGAGTCTTACATAAAATGTTAATGTCTTCATCTATTGGTACATTTAATTCTAGTGATCTTCCCAATGTCTGTTCCTCTTGTCAATTGGGAAAATCCTCTCGTTTTCCTTTGACTCGTGTCGAAACTACTAGTACGCATCCTTTGGAATTAATTTATTCAGATATTTGGGGCTCGGCGCCATTACATTCTGCGTCTGGCTATAAATATTTTGTGTTGTTTGTGGATGATTACACTCATTATATATGGTATTATTCCATGCGTGCTAAATCTGATTTGTATGCTATATTTGATAAGTTTCGGTTACTCGTTGAACGTTCTTTTTCTCGCAAGATTATTTTCTTTCAATCTGATTTAGGGGGAGAATATAAAATGCTTGGTCCCACTCTTGCTTCGCTAGGTATTCGCCACAGGCAATCCTGTGCGTATACTCACGAGCAAAATGGTCGAGTGGAACGCAGACATCGTCATGTTGTTGAGACAGGGCTGTCTTTAATGGCTCAAGCATTTGTCCCGTCTCGTTTTAGGGACTATGCTTTTAAAACTGCTGTGTATCTAATTAATAAAATGCATACTCGTGTTCTGTCTGCTGGGTCCCCTCACTTCCGTTTACATCGATCTCCCCCGTCCTACTCTTACTTGCGAGTGTTTGGTTGTTTGTGCTTTCCTGTCCTACGTCCTTATAATCGCAATAAACTCCAGTTTCGTTCATCTCCCTGTGTCTTTCTAGGCTATCCTCAGTCTTATTGTGGCCATCGTTGTTTGGACACTAACACTAACAAGGTTTTTATCTGTCGCCTTGTGCGATTCGATGAGACTATGTTTCCCTTTGTTTCTCCTATTGCCTCGCAGGTCGCTACAGCGCGTTCCGAACCGTGGGCTACTGCACCAATTGTGACGGGCCAAGGAACTGATGTCTCGACCACGGTTATTGATGGCGCTCGGCAGATTCACGAGCCCGTGGCAGCTTCTGGCGGTGATGCCGGCCACGGTCACAAACAGTTCGCATCGAGTGAGCGGACTATCTCGAACCAACAGGTTGAGCAATGCGGCAGGCCGCGCGGACGTCCTCGACGTGCTACTCCACCTCCTCAGTCGCATAGCATGAACACTCGCAGCTCCGGCCCGCATCAACATGTTGCCTTAACCACTATTTCCACTATATTGCATGAGCCTACCTGTTACTCCTAGGCGATCAAGTTTCCTGAGTGGCGTGATGCAATGGACACAGAGTTCAATGCCTTGGTCCATAACCATACGTGGCGACTCGTTCCATCTCAACCACGTATGAATGTTGTTAGTTGCAAGTGGGTTTTCAGAACCAAACGAAAGGCCGATGGTTCAATAGACCGTCATAAAGCAAGGTTAGTAGCCAAGGGTTTTAATCAGGTTGCTGGAGATGACTTTTTTGAGACCTCTAGTCCTGTGGCTAAGCCCACTACAGTTCGTCTTCTCTTACCTTTAGTTGTATCTCGTGTGTGGTCTATTCGCCAGTTGGATACTCACAACGCCTTTTTAAATGGCGAGCTAGCTGAAACTGTTTACATGCGACAGCCACCTGGTTTTGAGGATAAGTCGTTACCTAATCATGTATGTTTACTTAAAAAATCTCTATACGGTCTCAAATAGGCTCCACATGCATGGTTCACAAGGCTACATGATTTTCTTGTCTCTGTGGGCTTCTTGCCTTTTAAGACGGATGTGTCTCTTTTTATCTTTTCTCGTGACAATATTCGTATTTATTTCTTGGTGTATGTTGATGACATTTTAATTATGGGTTCTGACTCACATCGTGCTACTGCTCTTATTGATAAATTTGCACTTGAATTTAAGGTTCGTGATATGGGTGTGCCTTCTTTCTTCGTGGGAATAGAAGTTGTCCCGTTATCTGGCGGTATGCTTTTATCCCAACAACGGTACATGAAGGATATTCTCAAACGTGCTGGCATGGTGGACTGCAAGCCAATAATCACGCTTGTCTCTTCTGCGAAAATCACAGACAACGTGGTCGTTCCCTATGCCGATCCAACACAGTACAGGAGTCATACTGGTGCTCTCCAGTATCTTAAGGTAACCCGTCCGGATCTATCTTATGCTGTTAATCTATTGTGTCAACATATGCATGCTCCCACTACTACAGACTCGGCCTCTCTAAAGAGAGTCCTGCGGTATGTCAAAGGCACCCTGAATCTTGGCCTGCGTATTTCTCGGTCTACATCTATGGATATTCACGCCTATTCTGACTCAAATTGGGCTGGCGATCCGAATGACCGCAAATCTACTAGTGGCTTTGCTGTGTTCTTGGGCAGTAATCTTATATCTTGAGTTTGTCGGAAGCAACGGACTGTGGCACGTTCTTCGACTGAAGCAGAATACAATGGACTCGCTGATGTATTTGCAAAAGTTACATGGCTCGTTTCTCTGTTACATGAAATCGGCATCCCGCCTGCGTCTCCTCCTCGACTATGGTGTGATAATTTGGGAGCTACTTATTTATGTGTCAATCCAGTGTTTCATGTCCGCACGAAGCACATTGAGATTGACTATCATTTTGAAAATAGCCAAAAAGGAGTTAGAAGTGCATTTTATTTTAACCAAGGATCAAGTAGCGGATATCATCACAAAGTCTCCATCATCTCTTCATTGTAACTCTCTCTCCGTGACAAGCTCAATGTTTTGGCTAGCCAACATTGTGCTTGAGGGGAGTATTAGGACTATTATCCATATTAGACTAGGACTATATTATTCGTGTTAGACTAGGATTCTATCTAGCATCTCTATATATTCGATCCCTGTACTCTCAGACATTATTATTGAATACAACACAATTATATTCTCATCTTCACAACCATAACTATGAATGCATAACAAACCAATTAACTCCATGCATGTAATTGTAGAGAAATCTAGCTTCTAGCATTATAAAAGCTAGGCACGTACTAACGTCTTGGGAGAGACTTTTTGATGAGCTTAAAAATAAGTACAATATAAGCATAGCTCAAAAATAAATACAATATAATTAAACATAGCTTAAAAATATGATGAGCATGTATAGTAAAATAAACAAAATAGAATAATGTCCGTAAGCCAGATAACCTTTAAAGTTTAAAATGCATATGGAATGTAATTTATTGGTTGAAAAGATTTAAGGCTAAATTAGAAATGGAGAAGCCAGCATCCACAACAAGATTGTGGCCACTCACATACTTGGACTCATCACTTGCTAGATAAAGAACATCCTCTGCCATCAAATCAACACCTTTAAGGTTTGAATACACATCAAGTTTATCACCTCTGCCAAACCTAAAAAGCTCCTTGTCATCTGTGTAGGAACTACATAAGGGGAAACACAGTTGACTCGGATACCCCCCAAGTCAAGGGCAGTGTTCTTAGTCAGGCCAACAATTGCATGTTTTGAGCACGTATAACTGTATAAGCATGTACATAACCACCTATTACACCAGCAAGACTAGCCATGTTTATTATGCTCCCCCTTTGCACGGGTTTCATAACACGAGCAGCGTGCTTCATTCCCGGAAATGCACCAAGGGTGTTAACATGAAAGACATTAACAAAATCAGTTACATCGCAATCAAGAATGTCCAATACCTTGTCTCCCACGATGCCACCATTGTTGACCATTATATCAAGCCTTCCATGTGTAGAGACTGCTTTGTTCACCACATTCCAGTCTGGTACTAATTAAAGTCCTGTTCTTTAAAGGAGAAAGCCTCTAAACCATTTTACTGGGTAGGATCCTTCTAATGAAGAGAGAAACAGAAATAGTAATACAAGGCTAACTAGAACAATGTAAATAGACAAGCTTTTCAGCCTTAGGCTAATAAAACGTCTTGAAAATTGCTTCTTATCTGATCGGGATATCTTCTGGGGATGGATATTCGCATTCTTGATTTCATATGCTTCATTCCATGATGTCTCAAAGAACGCTACTCTGTCTCTTCTTAGTCTTAGTCTCCGATTTGCTGTGCCTTGAAACGGAAGCACATGGGGCATCAACCCTTGAGATGGTTGCTTTGGCTTTATATCTAGTCCAGGCTTCTTGTTGCTTACTGACAAGACATCTAGAGAGGCGTTTAATGAAGTATCGTCTAGTTTAATAATGTCATCTCTCATTATATCTGCAAACCAGTCCTCTGCATTGCCATCATCCTGAAATTAAACATTCAGGCAAAGCCCACTATTCTGTTCAACAAATTCCAAAACTACTAAGAAACGAGGATACTGGACTCTCAAGGAAAATTTATCAAAGAAACAATCAGAAAAGGAACAATAACAAAAACACTATGGGGTGTTTGGCAAATGGCTGATAGCTGATTGAGTTAGCTGGTATGACAAGCTGATAGTATTAACTGGGTGTAAAAAAGTGTTTAATAAATTAATTGTTTTTTCTTAGCTGATTGTATGTAAAATGGCCTACAAGGGCATGAACATATTGTGCTGATTTATTAACTCGTAAATTACTTTTACAATTTTTACTTATTTAATTATTTATTATTATTGTTGTTATTGTTATTATTATTATTATTATGGATTACAAGGATGAATGAAATAAAAAAGAAAGAAAAACATTATTATTGTTGTTACTAAAACAAAAAGAAAAAGGGGCAAGGCAGATGAACAAGAGATGACAAGGGTAAAATGGTCATTTCATAGTTAAGGTCAATCAGCTAACCAAAAACTCTACTCTTCTTAGCTTTTTAGATTTTGGCTTATTGCCCCAATAAGCTAATGCAATAATCCATTTTACCAAACACTTAACCTATTAACCAGTCAAACCTGCCAAAACTGGCTTATCAGCTATGTTACCAAACAAGGCCTATGTGAACAGTGGGAAAAGAAGAACCTTGTGGTGACTTGAAGAACCACACTGAGAGATCTCATTAACCAAATCACAATCGAATCCGGGGTCAATTTGCTCAACTGAATGAGAATTTAAACTACTGCTACACTCCTTTGAGCAGCTATCTCCAGCATTTAGTCCTCCCAAACCGCCAGTGTATTCTAGTTCAGAAAAGGCGTTGTTGCTAGTATTCACAATGGACTTATTCCTCGAATTTCCCAGGGTGTCATTCAAATGAAATTCATTATTCTTCCGAAGCCGACAGACAACCATGGAATCCTGTGTACAACAAATGAAACGGATATGTTCAACAGACTTAACGAGCATTAACAAATGAAATGAAATTTGTTACCCAAGCTTATACTAGTTTAGCTTCCATCAGAATTGAGAAATGTGTGTGTACTACCTGATATTCTTTTTCACCAATGCAATACTCATGCATTATCCATTGTGTCCTCTGTCCTTTAGGCGCACGACCAACGTGGAACACTAGGGTCCTTTTAGTCCCAATCACCTTTGAACCAGACTTTACATTCCTTTCCTTTCCTGTGGCCTTCCAGTACCCAGATTCAGTTGCCCTCCTACTCTGTGATCCATTCGGGTACTTCCTTCCACAAGGCGAAAAGAAAAACCACTCATTATCTGATTGCACCACTGACTTGCCTGCATTCTCAGGAACATATATAACAAATCAGTGAATGAACCCAGCTGCTAGTTACCCATAACCTTTGGTCTGGCTCTGATACCAAATTGAAACATGTACTCCATCTCAACTAAAAGCCTAAGCTGATAGTTGGATTGCACATTTATGTTTATGTTATATTATATGCTCAACAGTTTGTTGATTGAACATACAAATTTCAAAGTGGTTATCTGCAACTTCATATGAAATAGCACTACTAGCATCCATACAACTTAGATTGTTGATTGAACAAACAACAAATTCAAAGTACAGCACTACTAGCATCCATACAACTTAGATTGTTGATTGAATAACGAACATCCAAATCCAATGTAGATATTTATTTTTTCGAGTTAATACCATCAGGGTCCCCTCCAAATATATGGTTTTGCCATGTTTAATCCTAAACTTTCAAATTACCACCTATGGTCTTTCGACTTTCAAATTGTTACCATTCGTAGTCCAAGTTAACCACCTATAGTCCTTCAACTTTTAAAATTTAACTAGTGTCCTCCTAAAAGGACCATGTGTGTGGTAAAAATTTGATTAATTGAAGAACCTTGTGTGGTTAACTTGAATTACGGATGGTAAAAATTTGAAAGTCGAACAAACATAGATAGTAATTTGAAAGTTTAAAACTAATCATGACAAAATCACTATAATCTAAGGACCCTAGATGGTATTAACTCTTATTTTTTCATGTGAAAACTGAACAGAAACCAGGATGCACATTTTACTAATAATCAGGAAAACAGAACCACTGGAACTATGGAAGCAAAATAGATTTATTTCATTATTCTTATTCCAATTAGAGTTCTATTTCATCATTTCATTATCCATGAACATATTCCATAACTGCAATACGAAACTGAAATTAGGAAAGGGAAAAGACAACCTGGCAAGTCCCAAGGCTCATGCCGCCAAATCTCGACCTCAGGGATGACTTCCACGCGCTCATCCAACGCTTCCACTTTCTTCTTGAGGTAATACGATATCAACTCCTCGTCCGTCGGCGAAAACCGGAACCCCGGAAACATCGACGACGCCGTCGCTAAAGATATTTCTATTTTGCCGTTAGTTTCGTCGCTATTGTTATTGTTATTATTATTATTTCTTCCTGATATTCTCTCCATGCTATTATCTTCTTCGTTTTGTCTTGACAAAGATATATCTCCTCCATCCGCCATGTTTCCCTTCCCTTCACCCTAGTCAGAACCAGTGTCCGGCAGCCTTCTCTCTCTCTTTTTCTTCTGCTTTTCTGCTTTTCTTCTCTCTCTATATATATAGATATATAGATACATTGGTTGTTGAAGAAAAAGCAGGGTTGAGTTTTCTTTTTTGGTGCTGATGTATTCTCTTTACTTTCGGCTGCTTTGGGAAGAGGAGGAGATGAGAATCGACAGCGGTGCCGATGAAGCCGCACGGAGGACGCTTTTGTGGGCCACGTGAGAGTGACGTGGGATGAGAGACTACGTGCCTGGTAGTGGAGTTGCATGCAAGTGGGGCCCTCTATTTTTAAAAAGAGTTCCATTACTTCGTGACATGACAAATAAAGATTGGCTATTTTCATCATCTGAATCCTAAGGGATATGCCTACATTAAAAACTTGTAAAGAAAGAGTAAAAATTGAGAGTAAGAAATGAGAGTGTATCTAGTATTTTCTTTTTAAAAGTATATATATATATATATATATATATATATATATATATATATATATATATATATTGAATCCGGTGCATCTCCTCTTGCCAGGTGAGCTCGTGAGCCTAGATCCTGATCTTTTATTTTTTCATTTCAACGCGTGAGATTGCTTTGCATTTTTAAGGCTGTGAGCTGATTTATTTACTAGGCAGGGGCGTTCTGCCGTTCTAGTCTTTTGGCATTATATTTATTATATTACCTTATTTATTTCTTGCTTTTTATTGGAAGGTACAAAGTCTTTTTTATTCTCAATTCTTTTTTTCCGATCGCAGATTTGTGAAATATCTTTCACTCCTCCGTCTCCACAGAGTTCAATCTTCCGACTCGATGGTGAAATATCTTTCACTCCTCCGTCTCAATTCTTTTTTTCCGGGGGCGTGATAATCTCAATGGCTAGCTCTTTCTTCATGCATTCAAAGCGACAAAAGAGAAATTCTTCCGGATGTCAACAAGGTATTCCGATTTCATGTTTTCTTTTTGTTTTCTATTGGGTTTCATTGTGTATTTGTTTTCGTGATTTTTCCGGCATGGTGGGAGCTATGGGTAGTGGCGGTGATTTTTTTTTTTTTTGAAAGGAAGGTGATTTTTTTTTGTTCGTTTATGTTTTTTTTTTTCTTTTTCTTTTGGGGGGTTTAGGGTCCCGCACTGTTGGGTGTATTTTTTTTTTTTTTTTTGGATGTTAGACTTGGTAATTTGTACCAATTTGGGGGGTTTTGGTCTAGCAGTGCTAGGTGACCATTGTTGGATGGTTGGGGTTCCGGCCGGTGAGAGTATGTTCTCGATGGTGCTTGTTGTAGGATGGTGGGTGACTGTTGTAGGATGGTAATGAGTAGGTTCCCTTGGTTGCTTTGCTTCATCTATCAAGTTTTAGGAAAAATGAGGGAAAAAGTTTGTTCTTATTCATTTATACTTGTTTGATACCCTTATTCCAATTTATCTTCAGGGGTTTTGTTTTCAGTTTTTGGACTTGATGCAAGTAGATCTGGAGTTTCATAACTTTAGTCGAAATATTTGTGATTGGTTGCTGAAGAATTGTAGGAAGATTTTAGCTTTATGAAGTGAGTTTCTTGAAAAACAAGAGTCATGCTGTGTTTAAGATATATGATCTCCGTTATTTTGCTATATATGGTCTGTGCTTCGGATGGATTTGAGTGGGATTTTCACCCTCTGCTGGCAATGGATTTGAGTAGGATTTTCACATCCACACCCAATCCCCACCCACCACCCTTGAAAAAACCTTACTTGTGCGTATTGGGTGAGAGTGGGTGCCTGCAGATTGGTTTTTAATTGTCATCCCTCCATCATAATTATACTCCACTTTGATGTGGAAAATTGAAATTATTTGTGATGCTAAATGTTTTTGCAAACCCCTATTAATGTTTGCTCTTGCAATCTTCTCATTGGCAATGGAATATTGTTAACTTATTTTGATGCATGTTGGTCTTTGCTAATGTCTATAATCATATTTATTTCTTTTGTAGCCTTTGCCTAGCTTATATTCCCACGATCACAAATTATACTCAACTATGGACGTGGGTTCCTAATGTTGTTGTTGCTCACGAAAAGGAAGGGATTGAAGCTGTTCATCTGGCATCTAGAATTTTAAAGAGCCTTATTTGCTGCTAATCTACATTAAATGTGTTATTCCCTATATCCTATATAATTGATATTGCTATTTTTATTCCATGAGCCTTAGATGATTGTATCTTGATTTGTTTCATTTTGTTTTCATTTCCTAAAGTTTTTATTAGTAAATGGCTATGCCAGGTCAATGATCAATTTATGTTTTGTTGGGACTACATTTTCTCTTTTTCGTTTTGTATTTTGGGTGTGTGCAAACCACATTGTAGTTTGTGTGCATCACATTTCTGGTATGTGGGAATCTGCTGCGCGATATACACTGTCACATTTTGCTATGTGCATGATAATAATGACGTCTGTGCAATAATAGAATTTCAGCATAACGCATGCGCCTTATACCTCGAATGCACACTGTCACCAGCATTACGCACACACTGCCACCCGTGTGCGCACAGGCCATAGATTGTGAAATAAAACCTAATTAGCAAATATCTACGTGTTCATTCCTACGCATCCACCTACTTCATTAAGCACACACCAGTTTAATGTGCATGCCTTTATTATCGTTTTATTTTAAAATGCAATCTTACAGCGGTGTGTGCATTTTTATAGTATGGTGTGTGCGTTAGTTCTTGTTGGTTTTTTTTTTTTTAATGTATATAAACCATGATATTTTTTTTAATGTTATTGCATGTAGAATATAAAAGCGCATGACCTTTGCATTTCTTCATATGCTTTTGTTTTTTGTATTTGGTGTGTGCATTGGAGTGTTATGACGTGTACAATAGACCACATGATGCAAAGTTTCATTGCCAAAAATTTGCACACGCCATACCATAAAAATGCACACACCAGTGTAAAAACAAAACTAAAAAAACGACATGATGCTAAGTTCATTTTCCAAAAATTTGCAAACGCCAAATCATACAAATGCACACACCACTAAAAAAAAACTATTAATTTTTACAATATATTCCTTGTAAAACAAGTCAACCACAAGAAATCACGCACAAGAAAAGACCTGTGCATATAGTGGTTGCATATTATAAGGATTGTGGTTGTGATTTTTTTTTTTCACAATCTTTCACAGGCGAAATACACTCATTGTTATCTATGCATCCTCCCGTCAACATATCGGTTTCACAAACAGACCTGTATGCAACCACCTGAACACGCACACGCTACACACATAACAGATATTCTAGTTCGTCCACCAACCCCCTCCCCCCTCCCACCATCCCAGCGGAAAAAAACCCCAATATTCAGCGTATGCACAGACGATGGCACGTAAATGCACTTACCCGTTCGTTTTCTCATCAAGCCTTGTTCACGCCAAGTTCACCTCATCAACCTTTGTAGTAATTCAAAGTATTAATTTTCATCCATAAACTCCTTAATTTAATGCTACAGATTCCAATAATATTATGTCCATAAATAAATTAGAATTACAATTACTAATATATCCTTTACATTAGAAAATGTCATTAATTACTACCCTAATCTCTTATAATCTCAACCATTGATGGAAATTGAATCAATGGATATTAGGAGGCCTAATGGTCTCATCTATTAGAGGGGGTGCACCGAATTCGAAGCCTATATATATATATATATATATATATATACTAATTTTTTATGCGCTTTATGTGAATGGGATAATGCCCAATAATTATTTTTAAATAAATATTTCAAAGTATATTAATACAATATTATATAGGCGATGTCCATGCATAGGTAATAAATGTTGAATTTGTTTATTTAAATCGGTAATTTAAAGTATATAAATGCAAGATAACATATGAGAGAGTGATTATAATTGTCACTAAAATAAATGTTTACAACTTTGTAATAACGCTAGTCTAAATACTTAAGCTCTGTTTGGCAAAGCTTATTTAGACTCTGTTTGGCAACGCTAAGCTAGGAGCTTATAGCTTATTTTAAGCTACTAATAAGTTATAAACTCTGTTTGGTAATGTTTCCAAAATAAGCTTCTAGCTTAAAATAAGAGCTTATTTTGGAACGTTACTTTAGATAGCGTTTCAAAATAAGCTACTAGCTTCCTAATTTTTTTCCCATCTTTACCCTTATTATTTTAAAGTAATAACATATTTTAACCTTATGAATTAAAACCCTTTCTCTTCCCCTATCCCAACTTTCACGTCAATCCCTTCATCTTTAGCTTATTATTATTATTATTATTATTATTATTATTATTATTATTATTAATGTTATTTTTAAATTAGCAATATGGCTTCAACCAATGACAATATTGCTACTTCCTTATGGGATGCTAGATCATGATCATGCTAATAGTTTTATTTTAAAAAATGTTTACTTTTTTTTGGAAGACGAACTGTTAAATTTTAATATGTAAACAAACTAATTTAAATTTTATGAAGATGTCCTTTTCAGTCTTTTTACATTTATCAGCTTATCAAAAAGCTAATTTTACCAAACACTTTCAATCATAACAGCTAGCTTAACAACTCTTCAATTTTCAGCTCCGAACTTATAGCTTTTCAGCTTTCAGCTATCAGCTCCTAGCTTATAGCTTTTCAGCTAGGTTTGCCAAACAGAGCCTTAGGAGCTTATAGCTTATTTTAAGCTACTAATAAGCTATAAGCTCTGTTTGGTAATGTTCCGAAATTAAACTCCTAACTTCCTAACTTTTTTTCCATCTTTATCCTTATTATTTTAAAGAAATGACATAATTTACCCTTCCCAATTAAAACTCTTTTCTCTTCTCCTTTATCCGCAACTTTCACCGTAATTATTATTATTATTACTAGTAATTCACCCGCGCGATGCACGGAAAAAAATTATGTTATTATAAATATATATAAAAAATAGAAAAACTAAAATATTTTAAATTATTCAATATAATAATATTTTTGAGCTTCCATTGGTCTATAATAATATTTTTGAGCTTTCATTGGTCAAGTATTTATTATTTTTATAGAATAAAAAATTACAATTAAAATTATAATTATAATTATAATTATAATTTTGTATGGTTAATATAATCTCTAATTATGTGCATATTCAAATAAACTTATAGAGATAATTTACATAATTACATT